AAGAACACTTAATTATACATTCATAAACCGAGTTTAATCAGAATCGTTTATACATTCATAAACCGAGTTTAATCAGAATCGTTAGAGCCGTCTTTGAGAAAATCTTAAAAGTGTTTAATCAATTCTAAAAAGTGCCACTTCCAGATAGCCGATTTTGACCAAAAATGCTGTAACATCTCAGGAATATAGAAACATTAAATATGCAATTTCACTTTCGTACGACTTTTTGTTGCGATTTCACTACGGGGAAATTCATCAAATTATTCACTAATTTACTTTTCTAAAAGGTTACTTGGAATAAACGGCCGATTTATACCTAATTATTTAAATATAACATCATATCTAGAGTTATTAAACAACAGTAAATGTATTTAAGGTTATAAAAATATCCATGAAATATTTTTATATTTCACTTCTTCTTTCACACAAGTACAATGAAATAGTATTCTAAGCAATGTCACTGCATTGATTCGGTAGATTTTAAATAATTTTTTCAAACTTAAAAAAAAAATTGAATTAACGTTTCTATATTTCTAAGATGTTACAGCAATGTTTTTGTCAAAATCGGCTAACCGGAAGTGGCACTTTATTTAAAGTTTACAAATAAGAAAATTTAATTTAATTTCCTTGGAAACGTTAGATTTACGTTAAATAATGTTAGTTTTATGAAGTTTTATTTTTATTTTTTTCGTCACTCTCCGTTACCTTCTACAACTTTATTTATTTGATGTTATTTTTCGTAAAATTTTATGTTTTCCAATGATACATTATACCTATACTTCTAATATTTCCAGAGATTCATTTTCAATCTGAATAAGCATTTTTATTTTTTTTCTCTATTATTCAATTATCAAATTCTTTCAAGTTATATTTAGCATTTTTTCGCAACTCCTAACAATGAGTGATTGTTTAATTATTCAAAATAAACCAAATAAAAGGTACTTTAGAGGAAGAAATGTTGACATTGGGCATTTAAGCCCTATACAATGACCTATAAGACCTAAATGATATTAAAGACCACTAATGATACACTGAGTTTAATCAAAATCATTGGAGTCGTTTTTTGAGAAACTTGTAAAAATGTTTTTCACTGTTGATATAAAATGATACATCTGGTTAGCTGATGTTATTGAAAATGTTGCTCTAACATCTTAGCCATATACTTATGTATATATATACTTATGTATATTAATACATATATACTTATTAATATGCAATATCAAACTTTTCGTTTTAGAGCTAGACTGTTAACATACACACACACCATTTTGCAGGATTAGGTTATTTGGACTCAGAGGACCTCAAAACGTGTATTTACCTTGAAAAATCAGTTGCGAAAATTTTCACGATTGCAGTACTTTTCCTTACTATATATTACATATATAGGTAAGTGAAATTAAAAACACCCAATTTATTTAAACACATGAATAATTTTAGTTTGTGTACTTACCGTCTTTTGCAATATGATTGTCAATTTACTGGTATTTATATATTCTGATAAATAGCATTGTTGGTGGTTGATAAATTGACCATTTATTTATATCCATGTTAATGCGTACATTAAGAGTTGATTAATGGAACACAGTATAATTTATTTTAAACAATTAAACAAGAGGCAATTAATTTTTCAGGGATATCATTTAATATGCATTATAGAAAAATCTGCAGACAAGAAACAGACATTTTTGATTAAATGCAGAAAGAAATAATTTTACAGAAAAACAAAATTTTAGAACCCTGTCTTTTTACGTTATAATCGACAACACCAAAACAAATATCCCAAATTAAATCGAGCTTAGGCGTTTTAAGTTATAGTTGAGAAATTTCGAATACGTTTTAATTTTAATTTATCAATAGAAAACAAAATAAACGCAATGGATAAGTTAAAGGACATATACAAAAATGATACGGGTATTTGGTACTTGACAAATTTTTTAAAATATTTCTAAAATAATTATTAACTATTTTTTAACTCTTCCTGATCTTAAAGCACAAAATCATTTTATATTAGTTTCCGAACAGTGTGAACTCAAGCTGTGTCCTAATTGATTAAGAATCGCAGTATGGGAAAATCAAACATTAATAATACAGTTGGATGTATTAATTGAACATGCGAAGTTCAGTAAGAGCACTCATCTACTTTCTCTATATTTGATTTTCTCATCATCGGATTGTACATCCATTGCCTATGCCATTTGTTTTAGCAATTTCGACATACTTGATGATATTCAGTGCTTTGTAAGCGACAAAAACAAATTCTCTTTTTAAACCTTAATCTTTTTGCAACATCCATATACTCATTGCTACTAAAATACAGCAGAATTCGACAAGATAATTTGCAGTTCATAAATTCTCCACTTCCTTCTATCTAGATCATATAAAAAACAGAACGGGCGTAATAATCTAGCAATTTATCGCCCTAAAATTCCTACTCTATAAAAAATAGGCAAAGTAGGTAAATATTAACAATAATGGTTCTAGAGCATTGTTTCAACTTATGTTTCTATATATAATTTAAACTAGTTACCTATTTGTTAACCTATATTAGCAATTGAAATTATCAATAATTTACCTACCTCCTTTCTTTGAACCCCACATTATATTATTCTAAAGGGACTAGTTCCAGAATAAATAAAGCATATTATTATTCCTATTATCTTCAGCATTATGTTGTTTTTGTTGTGCTGGTTGAATAAAATCATAATTTTTTAAAATTTATATATTTTTTAAAAATAAAGTAACAGCGTTGTTCCATTCAAAATTCATGTACTATGTGTTAGTTTATCTAACCTTTTTTTTATTAATTTTCATTATTAATCTAATATATAAGTGGATGTATATCTTAAAAAATAAATTAAGTTACTTAAGGGATAAACAAAAAAACAATAATTTTTATAAAAACATGTTGTGTGACCAAGTTTAAATGGTGTGCGTAAAAAATAATTCAAAATTTCAATTTAATAATAATTAAAGCTTATTTTTATAAAATTTAAATTCATAATTGGCTTTAGAGCACATTTAAATAATAAATTTTCTAATGATATATCTTTAAAAATGAACAGGATACATAAGATTAAGTCACAATTTGCATAACCTTGAAGTTGATGCCCTTTTGTTTTTTCTTTTCATCATGATCACTGCCCTTGATTTTGAAGCTGATTAAAAAAAATCCATGTCCAATTCATTCCAGGATTTCATCAGATTTAATGTCACAATATAAATGTATGAAATGCCGAATTTTACTTACGACTTCAACTGTTCTTTGTACACCTTTCTAATTACAATTGTGATAACATTTTTTCTTCAGTACAGTGAAAACTAGAACAAAAATGCTCAATTGTTTTCCTCTATTTTTGGAGTATTTGAAAGATGTTGAGGACATTTATTACCAACATTGCTGAATAAACTTTATCTAATTAAACAGTTCAACTACACTGAATTAGTATAAATCTCAAGAACAGGGTGGAGAAGCATGAGCAATGGTCCAGATCATTTTGTTTACTAAAAAATAAAAGTCAACTTTTTTATTTTATCTCCTACCTGGCCATATTTTCATATCCATAATCAGAGGGAATATGATATTAATTTTGCCATAACATGTTTACCTACCCAGGGTGGATTTGAAGTGGTGCCATTTTCGACTCCAGCTTGCTTAGGCCATAAAAATTCTAGATCATGGTCTCCTAAAATAAAAGTCAATCATCACAGGTGCTGTCCTAAAATACTCAGTTAAGGTATTGGATGGGTCCTAAAAACATTATTTAAAATGGTGACATATCATCTTCAAGATGGTGATTCAATCACATACATTGAAAAATTTATGTTTAATAAATGCCTAAATTTTAACCCAATTAGTAGTCCCGATGAATAACACACAAGTATGTTTATAGAGTTGCTGGGCAAAGAAATGAGTTAAAGAAACTTCAGCATTTATAAGTAATCTTGAGACCCAGTAGATAGTCAACAACTAATTTTATATAATAAAAAAAAATAGAACATAGCTATTTTAAAAATACAATCATTGGACCTGGATTCTGAACCAACACTTTGAGGGACTGCAATTAAGACCGAAAAACCAATACACAGCAAAAATAAGTAAACACTTATTTGTTTTCTTTCTTGGTAATATCTCTGAACTTTTTAGTTAAAAAAAAAATAATAATTTATCTCAAGCCAATCCTTAAGAATATGTTCCATTATAACTGTTTTAATAATACACCAATAATAGCTAACATGCAATAGAAAAAGAAAACTTTATTCTTGACAGAAATGAAGGCCATTTTGTACTTTAAATTGCATGGTTCAAGTTTAGTCATCCAAATTATATTAATTAGTTTTACCTTACATGATTCTTTCATTCTCTAACATTTGCACCTTTTTATTTATTATATTTCTAAGTCATCCTACATATAGATTTCAGAGGTAGATTAGTGGTCTTCTATGTACAGCATTTGAGATACTAATACAGATACTTCTTCTACATTTGAGATACTTCTTGGTTGTATGTCTTCCTCCCACAAAGTCAAGAGGCGAACATTTTTAACATTAGCATAAAGTTGTTGATTGTAGGTGATTCGTCGATTGGCCCTCTGACACATACTATCTTCCTATCACAACCAATCCTCAGGCTAGCTACTTAAATCCCTTATAATCACACACTGTTTAAGGTCGTCTGATACATCCAACTTGACTCACCACATGACTCAATAACCTCAGCATCACTATATTTAACGGTTCATTGAAATAAATAACATGAAATTAAAGAATATTAGCTGTAGCTTTATATTTTTTTATAATTATTCTTTTAAGATTATTGACTGCACGACCCGATAAAGACCAGCATAAATAGTTTACACAACTACAAGTTCTTTTTCGACCACCACTCAAAACCGTCTCTTCCCTCATTACAAGGGAAACTATTAAATATTCAATTTTTCTCACAGATTAATATGACTAATTATCAAGCAATATTATTATTAAGGAAATTAAATTAACAGACCAATATAAAAACTTGGTAATTATTTAATTTAAAAAATAACATGATAAAAAATATTTAACCTATCACAGACATAATTGACTGCAATGATTTGAATCAAGTTAGTTGGCAATTTTATATGCATAAACAGGATTTAAATACATAAATAATACAAATTAAATGATGGTTTATAATTTTTTTTTCTTCTGCCAAGGAAGTTTAACGTTTTTTAATGTTTCATTTACCTGACGGTAAATCATTAAAATTAATATAGGAATAGTGAGCCGAGCATCTTTAAAGAAATAAAGCCAACATGCGACGAGAAATAGAAAGAAGTCTAAAAGATATTCCATGTATTGTTTTGATTTGACTTCAAGTGGCTTTTTAGAAACTTTTAAACTGTCTTGAATTGCCATATCTTGATCTTGAACTTCTACTGTTTCCTTTGACTCTGTTTTTTGTTGAGTCTGGTTCAATGCTTTAAAATTATCTTCTGTAGGTTGAAACTTGTTTTCTTCATTTTTCTCAGCAGCTGCTTTCAGTTCATCATAACTTAGATACAATTTAGAAGTTGGTTTTTTACTATGTCCAAATTCCCTAACAATGTCACTGTATAAGTTAACTATAACTTTAGTTCCTTCTGATTCCTCCATGGACTGGGCTTTCTTTCTTCTATTTCTGGCAACTTCTCCAGCTTCAAGACCAATATCATTCTCATGCTGTAAAAATATCCCTTCCTCTTTTTCTTCAGGTTCTTCAATTCTAACTTTCTTAAGACTGTAAACAGATGCATCAGATCGATCAGACCTTTCCACTGACTTTTCTCTGGTTTTAAGAATAGGTTTGGGAATCACAGGCAAAACAGGAGGTTCATGTCTCTCATACACTTCTGGAGAAGCAACAACTACTATATTTGGAGATGGAGAGCGAGAGCGATCCATTGAACGTTCAGGAGTAAGAGATCTTCTGAAAGAAGAGGAAAAATCAGGAGAATCTCTTCCATTTCTAAGGCTTTTTCTTTGTGATTCAGGTGAGTCAAATTTTAATGGCTCTGGTTCTTCATTAATAGTTATCATTGGAGGTTTATATGGGACAGCTATTGAATGTGTTACACTTTCTTGACTCATTTTTGTATTACTGGGAATCATACTTCTAGGATGGTAAGTATCTTCATCAATTTCATCTTCTGAATAATTGGATGATATTCTGTCACTTTCATCATCTGAATGTACTTTCATGTTGGTTAAAGCAGTGTACTCTTTAAAACATTTTTCTAAATTTTGAAATCGCTCAGAGAATTGATCAGCTCTATTTTCACGTTCATCTAATTCATCACTTGAGTCAGATAGGCGTTTAGCCCTTGAGGAATTTAGCTCCATTTTAAGTTCTTTAGTCTTTGTTAAGATATTATCTATAGATTGCAGGTTATCTTTGCTGGAAATAAAATTTTCCTTAGTTTTAGAAGATCTCCTTTCAAAACTTCTTTTTCGCTCGATGCCATATCGTTGTTTCAGGTGTGTTTCAGCTTCTTCTTCGTTTGCTTCTTTGTTGAACCTTATGAGAGCCAATTCATGCATTATTTCAGAAGAGCTCGCAGACAATCTTAATTCTTGAAAATCAAAAGGTTCACAACTGCTTAGTTCAGGAGCAGAAAGAGAAAGTGGTGGTGCTACACCAGCTTCAGATTCAAAGTCATCAGGAGAGAGTAAATTTTTATCTTCTCCTATAAAAAAATAAAAATTATATTATTTAAGAACTTTTTTATTCTCTTTATTGAAGTATAGGTTAGTAAAAATATATTAATTATACATATTATTAGCAAACTCTAGCAATAACCATAGTAAACTAAAACTTTAAAGACATTCTTAAACTGATATAATATTTTATCTATTAAATTTATGATTGATTTTGTATTGATCAGACATGTGCTGAACTAATTAATACTCTAATAATATAAACAATTAAAGGTAATTAAAAAAAAATATTCTAAAAGATAACCCTCTTAGTCACCTGAAAAGAAGACGGTCTTAGGACCTTCTAATATAGAACTATGATTGGAGTTCTACCAATGGGTAGTTTCTCTTCATGTGGACAATTTCAAATTTACTTGATGTATTTTTCATGTAATACAATTGTAAATTTCAATAAATATGCTTAAAAAAATCTAAAAGAATTTTTATAAAGAAATACATAAAACATATCTTTCTTTAAACTTCTAGATTTCATCTTTAACCTGTTTTGTGGATGTGCCAAGGAATGAAGGATCCATAAAACAGGCGTATATCACTTTAGCCATACACGGCTAATAGTTAAACCATTCAAGGTAATCTAATGTTAAAGAAGTATTACTATTTCTCTTTACTCGGTAACATCTATGAATCTTTATAATTAGATTCCTTTAATTTGACATTTTCATCCTTTACCACTTCATACTACCTTTCGACTCAATTTTTCTTTGATAACAATGATTTTAATTTTCCTCTAAACCCTCCTACCTCTGGTGGATTCAAGGGGAAATTTCAGTCGAATTCCTCCTTCAGGAAAATTTTTTTTTTTCATTGATCTATCTTTGTTTATATGAGTAATCTGACCAAATCTTTAAATAATCTTTAGTTTTAAAATATAACGTATGTACTTCAGCTACTAAATGTGTCAAGAAAAAATATAAAAAATTTATTTCCATATTACCCAGCAGATATACTGTTATATTTTGAATCATATATATAATTTAACAAATCTCAATTCTATATTTCCTTGTTGGATAACAATACCATTCAACTTGATTTCTACCTTCCCAAAACCTGACAAATTAGTCTAATCACGAATATTGAATTTCCTTGAAGAATCAAAAATACTCAAATCTGATTCCTGATAACTTCGAAAAAATCAAAATAACAAGAAATATTGATGCCACTATACAATCATTCTACTTTTATGCTACTTTCAAAATCAAAATAGTGAATAATACAATAGAAATGTAAATTAACACTATACTGGAAAGCAAACATCAGTGGTTAGAACAAAAGATAAATAGGAAGTACCTCACCTCTGAATAGTTGGTGATATTGATAATGAGACCTTCAAGTTTACACAACTTGATAACTTATCATTAATGATGTTAGTTTCTATTGGTTACCTAGATATATGATATGTAAATTTTATAATTTAATTCTAAATGAAATAATTATAACTTACCTTGATCACCATTTGACTGCTTTCTTTTATTCGGTAGTAAAACAAGCATCATTTCTGAACTGCTATGCATTTCATCATCATTTGACCGGGGGCTAAGTTCTTTTTCCCACCTCCATGCAGAACCTGGTTTAATTTTTTCTTCAACAGGAGAAGCAGCCTTAAAAAAAAAAAAAAAATATATATATATATATATATATATATATATATATATATATATATATATATATATATATATATATATATATATATATATATATATATATAGCAAATGAAATAGTTTTAAGAAAAAAATAATAATAATTTAGAAAGATAGGCTGCACATGAAAATATTGCATTGGTAGCAGCGATCATTAAGCTACCACATTTAAGACAATTAAAAGGCATAAGGAGATTTCACATATACTCATCACAAAAATCATACAAGTTTGATCTTTTGATAATGGATCTTGATGATTTAATTAAAAGAAAACTCAGGGCAATGATTGAAGTTAGATTCTGATCCATGATATGAATATTTCAAAAAGAACCTGGAAACAAAACAACAGCTCCATAGAGTATATACAAGAGAGTTTGGGTTCACATGGTTGGGCCACCAAAATTTTTGAGGCATATTTCAACAGAATTGCAGATTTTTGGAATGAAAGGTTTCAAACCAGAGGACAAGGGAAAAACATTAAACAGACCACAGCAAGTGTAATCGTATATGATCTAAAATTTTTGAAATTCTATTTCCTCGAGCACTACTTTAAGAAGAGAAAAGCAGTAAAATATCTTAGGAGGGAGTAGAGGGTTCATTCAACATTGACCTTGGAGGGATAGGAACCCATGGTTCAAAACAGGCCAAATTTGAAAAATCGTGGGTTGGGAATTTTATGCTTAAGAATAATTAAAAAAGAACCTAGAAGCAAAACAATAAATCCATGGGTCTATATAATAGCCATTTTGATGGTTAATTCCCACTGGTTACTATTTTACTTCCTACAATTAATAAATCAATTATTTCTCTATCTCCTGAATTATCGATCTTCCACATATGTAAGAAGAAAATCAATTATTAAAAATCAATTATTTCTCTATCTCCTGAATTATCAATCTTCCACATATGTAAGAACATACAGGCTTAGTCAGGAAAAACAGGCTAAATCCAGGAGTTGCACACTGGAAAATAATTTTTAAAAACTCATTATGATCTTATCCAATTTTTAATCAATTTGTTGTTTTGTTTCCAGTGTTCCTATGTGGGATACCTCTTCAGGTCAGAACAGAGCTCCACACATATCTATCCTCGTAGACCTCCTCCTGTAGAACGCGGCTATATCCGCTCGGATTCCTTCCATCCACGTGGTTCTGGATCGTCCTCACCTAAGCTTTCCGGGTGGCTGCCAGTCCAGGACTCTGTTCGGCCAATGCTCTTCCGGCTTTCTCCTGCAGTTTCCCGATCCTCTCAGAAACGGTCTCCTCTACACCAATTCTTTATCTCACCACTTCATTTCGGACTCTGTCCAGCCTCGTTAACTGTAGACACCTCCAAAAATCCATTTCTGCAGTCCAAATTTTGGCATATAAGCCAGCATTCATCGACCATGCCTCACACCCGTAGGTTAATATGGACTCGACAATAGCTGTGAAGATATGCCACTTGTTCGCATTTGAAATAGTGTCGTTTCAGAGAACAGGATGCAGCATTCTAGTTGTTTTTCTTGCCATCTATACCTTGTTTCAGACATTCCAACATCGTCCACATAGGACCCCCCGAGGTATTTAAATGCCTTTACTCTTCTGCACACCTGTTCACCTATGCGTAGATCGTCTTCCTCATCTCCCAATGCCATATACTCAGTCTTTTGGAAGTTTATCCTTAGACCTGCCTCTTCATAAACTTTCTTTAATTGGCCAACCACCATCTCCAGGAAAACTTTCTTCTGGGCCATCACTACCTGATCGTCTGCGAAGAACAGAGTAAGGAGCTCGTAGTCATCACAGTAAACTCCGTAGTCCCGACTTCATCTGATCCATTGCTTCACTATCCAAGTATATCTTGAAAATGCTTGGAGACGAACAACACCCCTGCTTCAGAAAATGGTTCCGAGAGGCGGTTCCCAATCTTCACTCTGTACAGATCGCTTCCAAACAAGTGTTGAATTGCTTGTACCATAGATTCAGTAATACCCGCTCTGCCATGCTTCATCAGTGCTGGCCATATTCTTTTCCTAGGACTATTTTCATATGCCTGCCTACTCCAGATCCAATGAAGGCTAAATGAAGCTGCCTATTTTTCGCTCTGCATTTCTCAATGAGCTGCCGGAGTACAAAAATATTGTCAGTAATATTGTTCCAGCAGTGAAACCAGTTTGTACCACTGGTGTGGTGAACTCCCCTTCAAGCTTATCCTGGACAAGTTTCCCAATAATCCTACTTACTGAGCTCTGTATAGTCATGGGACAGCGAGTCATCCAACCGGACGACGGTGTCCCACGAAGCGGTACAGCTCCCACGATGCTCCTGGAACTAATCCTCAAGGAAGATACCGTCAAATTCCACTGCAAGAAACAGAAGCTGAACACGTTACCGTAGGGGCTCCATGACAAAATTAGTGAGAACCCGAACCATTGGAAAAGGATTATCAGGGAGGAGTCCATTGAAGAATGGAACAGAGAGTGAGTAGACAAGTCCGAAAGAGTCAACCCTCAGGAACTTTTTCCCCACCGTTCAGATAAGATTAGGTACGGTATGGGTCCTTCCTAATTACTGTATCTCACAGGATATGGAGGGTTCCGAGGAAAACTTGGTGCCCATGGAAAGAATATCAATCCCCGGTGCATATTAACACTTCAAAATAAAAAACTTGAAATTGAAAAAACTTCATCCGGGGTCATCAAGACGAGAACGATGTTCAATGAACTGGAAGCTTGGAATTCATGTGAAATTATAAAGAAAGGTATCACCATCAATATAATCAAAGATTAAGTCTACAAGAACAAAGTCTTTCTCTATCATTACAAGCATATAAGAACTAAGTCTTTCTCTATCATTACAAGCATATAAGAACTAAGTCTTTCTCTATCATTACAAGCATATAAGAACTAAGTCTTTCTCTATCATTACAAGCATATAAGAACTAAGTCTTTCTCTATCATTACAAGCATATAAAAACAACTTAAACATAGCACCTGAGAAAAGGAGAGATTTACAACAGATGGTGCCATATTTAAAACACGATGATTATAAATATAGCTTTCTTCAAAGATTTCATCAATTAAAATTAATTTGTATTTTAAAACTAGAATCAATTTTATTTAAAAAGTTATTAAAAATCTAATATGTTTAGAATTGCCTTTTGGCTCATTTTTACTGACAAATATTTTCACATAGCATATGCTATGTTTTCATTAATAAAATACTTCTTTTCAGTGATAAAATTAATAAATTCTTAATTTCTTTGCAATGGTACCCTGTTTTGTAAATAAAAAATTTGGTTTTGGTTTTTTTATCAAAACTTTTTAGGTAAAACAAGACAAAAAAAAAATGAATAACTTAAAATCAAAATTTTGGTACTTAGCCCATTGTTGATGTCAGTCAGTCTTCGAATGTCTCTGGAACTGTACATTTATATTGTTTAATGGGGAGCAGGCATCACAGAATGAAGTTTACATTAATTTCATTTCATTAATAATAATAATAATAAAAGGCTTCGCAAACCCGAAGGTTCGATGCCGACACCACCAATCACTTTTACACACCTCCCTCCATCGTTCGCCATCCAAACCCAGTCCCTTCAGATCAGCTTTAATGCAATCTTCCCACCTTTGCTTCGGTCTACCCCTCGGACGCTTACCATTCGACACAGCAAATATTAACCTTTTAGAAATTCTCTCGTAACTAAGCCCAACAACTTTACAAGCCCATATGATTCGCCGCCATGAAATTACCTCAATTATATTACCCGGATACAGTTCACGCAATTCGGCATTGTGTAACAGTCTGAACTCTCCGGTTAACTCATCTTTCTTTGGTCCAAATATTCTATGCAATACTTTATTTTCAAAAACCTTAAGATGCTGCTCATCCCTTAATGTAAGCGGCCAAGTTTCGCATCCATAAAGAACTGTACGCAAGATCATTTTTTTATAGATTCTAATTTTTAAGTTCCGGGACAAGAGGCGCAAACTAAGTAGTTTAATCACAGAAAAATAACAAGCATTTCCCGCCTTCAGTCTAACCTTAATCTCTTCTTCAATTTCGTTTTTTCTAGTAGTCTAACCTTAATCTCTTCTTCAATTTCGTTTTTTCTAGTTATCGTAGAACCTAGATACCTAAAAATTTATCTACCTGTTCAAACATATTACCATCTATATCGATATCACCAGTAGTATCACCATTTTTGCAGCTAACCATATATTTTGTTTTATTTTGTTTTTATTTCGAGTCCTAGTTATTTATCGGCTTTCATTAACGTTGTCGTATTTAGTTTTATAGTTTCAACGTCTTCGCTTAACAATTTTGAATGAATTTTCATGAAATTTCATTTCATTACAACCAATAAAATGCATGAAGACTATTAGAATTACTGCTAGTCTTCAGTAGGTTAGGCTACAGAATGTTCCAGTAAAATGAATTTATTGGACATTCTAATTTGGGCTAATGACCACAAGGATAAAAATTACGGATGGTTTAGTATTCATCGAAAAGCTCAAAGGATAGAAATATAATTAAATTAAAACTATTAGAGGTGATCTGAAAGGACGTTTTTTTCTCTCTCGAAAATGCCAATTAAAAAATCTTAGAGCAAACAGCTATATATATAAACAGCTAGCAAGGGTATCGTATCCATTAATTCTTGTGCACAAAGCACACGAAAAACAATGTCAAAACCAAATAAAGAAAAATCAGTGAAAGCTGCCTAGTTCTATATTAAAGAATTGTCTGCACTCAAATCAATGTAAAAAATATACATGATTGTTGCACCACAATTTGCCTACACTTTGAGCAATGAAATTAATATTAAATTAATCAATTCATTCCATTTACATAGTCCAAGTTATAAAACCTCCAACATAGGTTTTGATGACAGTTATGTACCCAAAATAAAAAATGGTAAGAATGGAAGAGCAGTGGAATGAAGTTAATTTAAAAGTTTACAAAAATTTATGGCTTACCTTATCAGATGATGGTGAAGCTCGGTGCTTCCTCTTGGGTGGAACTGGTGGAAGAGGAGGTGGTGACTCCCTTGGAGGTGAGCCTTGGCTATCTTCGCTCCAACCTCTTTTGGGAGCCATCTTAACTTTACGAAGAACTTGATTTGCTAAGAGAACTGGAGATGGTATTGGACTATCTTCATTCCAGTCCCCCATAACATTATGTTTCGGAGAGTTTTTGGATGAAATTCGATCTGCTCTTGATTCTAACCATTGGTCAGGAACATCATCCAGAGTCATCTCTGCTCCCTGAGGTGGTGGTTCCAATAACCTTATAAAATATAAAACATAGATTAACTGAATTTTAAATATTGACAAAACTAGGAACATATTCTAGAAATTAAGCTTAAAGTACTTAAACAAATTAAGATAAGCAATTAGTAAATATTTTCATTTATGTAAAAATATAAAAAATATTACAAATTATAAAAGATAGGTTTGTTAGAATTTAAAATCCTAATATACTCCTAAGTAGATAGGAGTAGTTGGTATATTACAGATTACCAATCCATATTCTAACCGGAATGAGAATGTCGACTTTTATTCTAAGTTCCCACATTAAAATAAAAGTCAATCCTCCAAGGCAGAATTTGAACTCACCACGTGACTCAACATGTCCAACTCTACCAGTCTTTGGGGTTCATTAATGACAAACATAGGGTTGAGGCCAAATAAAAATATTTATCAAGACTATAAAATAACAAAAATTAATCAAATAAAAAACTAAACATAGTGAATTTATATTTTATTACAAATAAAGATTTTTCAACCTCCACTGAATATTTTTCCATTGAATTGAAAGATACTACAGCGATGGTACATAAAAGGAAAAATAAATCAAAAGATACTGTGAATAAAGTTAAATAAATGGTTTATTGATTAAAATAATGTATAATCAAGATAAAATAATTCAAAGTAACAATTATGCAGCTTTTCTTGCACAATGTATTCACAATCCCATTTCTTCTTTGAATATTTTTAATGCTTGCCTGGATAGTAATGCCTTTGGAAGAAAAAAATACAAAATAAATTAAGAAATCAGAAATAGACAAAAATAGGTTCTAAATCTAAAATTTTTGAAAATATGGACTAACAATGAAGAAGCATTAATTGTAACTAAGACCAAAATTTCTTAAGCTATGTCTACACCAGAAATATTCTTGTCTATCTTTAGTACAAGGTATACCCTATTCAGTATCTGATTCATTCCGATATATAGCCCAAAAACTTAAGCTGATTTTACTTTAAAATATGTTAGAAAACTATAGCTCATTAATTATAAATTATTATCATTTAATTTTTTTCAGTCTGCAAAATTGGTCAGTTGGAGTATACTGTCCGGAAACCTCAAAGAAAGACTAAAATACTTGTTAATTTCTTCACAGAGTTCTGTATGAATCCAAAAATATGTTTGTTTAATTTCACAGAACAACTTAAGTATAGCATAAAGTTCTTATTATTATTCCATTTAAATATTACACATAATGCTGATATCACAACATACTGTAAATATATTTGTATAGATATAATTGTATTAATCTAATTATAGATATTGAAATGAAATGAAAAATCAGTTTAGATAACGATTTCACAAACATAATTTGTGGAAAAACAGGGAAGGAAATTGCTTGCAATGTGAATAAGCTAATTCCCAAATATGTCATGGCTTATCCTCAACTTACATACATAAAGCCACGGCAGTACTTGTAACAGAAAAGAACTGACCACTGGAGAGTAGAGAGCAGAGAATAATGGTTTGAGACACAGTAAATTAACATAAGTAATAAATGTATTAGCTTATACCATGCTAATACTAAAACCAAAAATTAACCTAAAAGGCATATGGAAAGCCATGGCTAGCGTAAGAGATGAACTAAATTTTTGGTTTTAGTTTGATGTTAAGAAAATAATATTAGAATTGATTTCCTGTTAATTTTATAAAATGCACTATAGACCATTGCTTGGATAGACTAAGATATAAAAGATACATAGAATCTGCAAAATAAATAAAAGATACATATAATCTCTAACCAGTAACCAATCTACACTTAGTCTTTAAGAAAATGTTGAAGTTAATGTGAGTTCAGGCTTCCCCAATTCCTCTTTTTCTCCTCTTTCCTCTTTTCTAGATCTTTGGATTGAGCTTAGGATAACTCCAGACAAAAATATATCAAATAAAAAGAAAAATTGCAATATAAATAATTGAACATGATGTTAAAAATAAAATTTGAATTAAATGATTATTTACGATCCCTAATTTTCACTGTAATTTGGATAGCTCATTGGTTTGTGGGACACGTGACATTAAATTGTCCTGATTAATAAGACTTATGGATCTTAAAGTATATCATATTCATAAGACTTATGGGTCTCATACTATATCAAGACACTACTATACTAATGAAATTCAGAGGGTTTACTTACCCCCTTTTGGGGTCAGGAATAAAAATTGTATCTGATTCTTCACTTGGATCACTGATTCCATATGGGTTTTCAGCCTTTACCCTGAATTTGTATTCAGAACCTTCAATGAGGTCTCCTATAGTTGTTGTTAATTGCCTGCATGTAGCTGCTTTTAGCCACATATTCCAACCAATCTAAAAAAAAGATTAAAAAGAAATAAGTTAAAGGAAAAATTATCTACCATCCTTTACAAGTTTAATTTTAAAGAGGAATATATTTGTCTACTTGGTCATATGAGAAATATTCTTTATATATGATGTGACTAAATTAACTAATGAGACTGATTTTTTTATTGAAATAAAATTACAATTCACATTGCCTCCTCACTCACTACCTTGGGAAGCCACTGAAGACAATTCTTTTATTCCTCATAGCAGTGTTTTTTTTTTTTGGTTTTTTATTCTAGGCCTTGATCGTCTTGAACTCTTTTGGCCATGTGACGTCTAGCAGCCCAATAAAACTTCACCTTCAATCCTAGCTTTGGTTCAAATGTCCTGTAGACTGGGACAAAAGTCAGTAGATGCAGAGCTGTCGTGGATCCTTGTGGACTTGTTCCTGGTTCGACAACTCCAATACTGTATAGACGGCTTTGAAGATAGTCATGTCCGGTTTTCATCCTAAACTGTGCAACTGCCTCACTTCTAAGAGAAAAGACCACTGGAAGGGACAGATCTAATGAACACATATCTATTCTTGCCATTGGCAAATATACAATAGTATTTGAGTGAAAGGGCTGGTGAAATTAATCCGAGATTAATATATTTGGTGAAAGTCAGTGTGTTTCTACATTGCTGCAAGTTATATTTGAGGGTCTGGAATGGTTCAAAACTTTAGAACAGGCTTTATTATTTAATAGAGATTTAATGTATTTATAGAACAAGCTTTATTTTACTATGATGGACAAATTGTGATGCTGAATAATTTGATTAAAGAGTCCTGATGTTAATACATCTAAGCCAGGGAAGGAAGTTTATTAATGGCAAAATAAGGTTAGATCTCTTCCCAATCCAAATTCGTCAAAGAGTATTTTCAAGACAGTACCGACTCTTGGAGAAAATTAAGATTCTGAACACCCTCCTTATCAATTATTGAAGAAAGAAAACAAATTTTGTTGCAACGATGGTTATAGTCTAGCCCTGACTCAAGTTGAAGTTTTAATTAAAAATAATAAGATTTCTTGCTTACAATGACCCTGACTTCTCAATCAGATTGACAATTGCAGATGAATGAACTCTTTTAGAAATTACGATTCTCTGTACAAGCAGCATTGAATAAGACTTACTTTAAACCATTAAATAGTGAAATAAAAGTGATTCCAAAAGAAATACATAAATTTAATTAGGCCAGTGCTTTATGCTTAAAATGTCCTCCCTCCCAACCAAGAGAAAAGAATAATGAAGAGAAGAATAGTTGGGGTGGTCAGTCAAAAAAGAAGGCAAAAATAAATGATAATATTTATTTTCTTATTATAATATTTTATTTTCTTAGCCCTGATGAAGGCCTGAACTTCAGGTCGAAACGTCGACATATGTAAAAATAAATATTATCATTTATTTTTGCCTTCTTTTTTGACTGAACACCCCAACTATTCTTCTCTTCATTATCCACGACAGTCAACCATTTACCAATTATCAAACAAATAATAATAAAAACTAATATTTTGAACAATTCAAACCTAAAGCATTTAAAAGAGCATCAAACTTCTAAAATGGTTGCTGATTTCATAACTTTTCTCACCTCGAAATGAGATCACTACACCATTTCCAATCCATATCAGATATCAGGTCAGTGAGATAAATCTATGAAAACCCGTGTCATCACTAATCATGCAACCTGTCTTGTCTCAACTATGATAAATTAGAGGAGTGGGTAATTCTTTATCGCCCATCACACTCAGTATTCTGATTCTTGGCTCAATCCCTGTATTATTGATTCTCCTGATAAATTCCTCGACTCATCACAGCATCCGGTTCCTTTTTTGTCTGCACATGATCTCATACAGGTCTCCTATAACCTTCCTGTTCCGCTGTTCTGTCCCTGATCTATAAATTTTAGAAACCTTGATTTCCTATCATTCGAAACTCTGACGCCTGATCTTGACACAATCCAATGGGACTTCATATATTCGGTCGATTTTATGGTAGAAACTTTAACCAATCATCTGCATATTATCCTGGACCGTCATGCTCCTTCTTAAAGTTAGGAAAATCAAGGATTCCCCAGTCCCTTCGTTGACCTGCGAAAAAAGATTGTATTAAAGATGCGGCTAGACGAAGGTTTAAGCGCACTCGACTTTCCGAAGATTGTACAAACTTCAAGATGCCCAAGATGAAACAGTACGCAATCCTTGATACGCCATACCAAATCCCATTACTTTCAACAATGCCTATCCAGCCGTCCAAACTCCAAAGCCATGTGGGCAATCCTCCGGAAAATCCTTAGGCAAATTTACCCCAACCCAGACTACTTCTATTTCAGCTGATGTACTCAACATTCATTTTGTCTCCTGTTCCTCATATCCCTCTTTTCAAACACCAGTTCCAACTCTCATTTATCCCTCCTTTAATCCCAATCATTTTTTCTTTCCTTACATTACCCCTGACCACCTCCTCAAATTTATTCGCAAATCCCAAATCAATAATTTCGGACCAGATAATATCGCAGTTAAATTAATTCTCACTTCCATTTTCCCATTCCTTTATCATATCTACAACTTTTCACTGCAAAGTTCCACTTTTCCTAGCACCTGGAAAACTGATCTTCTTTTTCTGCTGAATAAAACCCCTAATGATTTGCACCAAATTTCCCTGTTATCTATGAGGGCAGAATGAGTACAGTAGTTAGGTCTAAAACTAGACTGGAAACAGTTCAAAAGGTTATTTTGTTCGAGATAGTGGGATAGTACTATTCGAACCTTTAGAACGAATAGTACTATCCCACTATCTGGAACAAAATAACCTTTTGAACTGTTTCCAGTCCAGTTTTAGACCTAACTACTGTACTCATTCTGCCCTCACTACGATCTCCACACAGCCACAGACCAACAGAAACTCACCATCCTGATCCTTCTTGATTTCTCTAAAGCATTTGACTCAGTTGACCATAATATTCTCCTAACCAAAATTAAAAATATTTCCTTGTTATCTAGAGTCCCTAAGTGGTTTCAATCCTTTCTCACCAGCCGCTCCAAGTACGTTGTAGCCCCTAATAACCCTCCTTCAGTGTCTCTACCCTCGTCCAGAGGTTACTCTTTATCTCCCATCCTCTTTTCCATGTATATCAATGACCTCCCTTTCTCTATCATGCACTATCAATACCACCTGTATGTTGACGGCGTCCAATTTTACCTTCCCTTCAACCCGGCTGATTCCTCTAATGCCATCCTGAAACTGCAACAAGACATCAATAGAATATGCGCATGGACAAACCTTAATAAGCTCACATCTAATACAGAGAAGACAAAAGTCATCCTGATCGGATCCCCCTTACTCCTCAAATCCATTTCAGTACCTCCCAATCTTCTCTTGAACAACCCACCTATCTCCTTCTATACTACCGTAAGAAACCTTGGCGTTACCGTCGATCAAATCATCTCCTGGAAACCACACCTCTCCCAATTTTCCCACCACACTATTTCCATCCTGAAACAGATTAACCATCTACGTTATCTTCTTTCTGTCAAGTCCTGGTTTCATCTCTTGTTTTCTCCCACTTCGACTATGGCTGTATGGTGTATTCTCAAGAGAACTCAAATCTGAACTTAGATCACCCAGTTTTACATAGAGTTGAAGTGGCTTTATCTGTCCTACCGCCATCAATATTTCCTTCCTATACCAGATTATTAGAACTCCGCGACCCTCCTATATTCTACAGATCCTACAATTCAAATACTCCTTTCAATCCTGATCCACCAGATTCCGTACATCCAACCTCTATCCTCCTCCTCACCGAACTGCTGCTCAGTCAAAAACAAATCCTTTTTAATGCAAGCTGTCTCTCTCTGGAATTCTTTCTCTTCTGATATTCAACACGCAAAGTCAGCATCCTCTTTTAAATCTCTCCTCTTCAAACACCTACTCCATCCCCAATCCGGTAGATCATGAAATGTACTTAAAAATCTAAGTCGTAAGAATAAATTATTTTGTGATTTATTGATATTTTGTTTATTTATTTTACTTTCTCTGTTTACATTATATATTTATGTATGTTTTTATACCTTTTATTATTTGTACTTTTTTATTACTAATCATCCTGTAAATATTTAATTGTATTGTATGGACACACCAGAATATTAATATATATTCTGTGTTTGTAATTTGTTCTAAACGGGCACTAGTCCCAGAATAATGAAATTATTTTCATTCATTCTTCAAGCAATTTATAAAATGTTATAAAAATTAGATTATAATTGATCGATAATAGATTATTTTATTGGAAAAATTTAGTGTTTATGAAGAGCATATTTTTTCAAAATTAAAAATTGGTTCACCTATACCTTTCTGAAATACCTACCTGCATTAGAAAAGTGGATTGCTAGTTGGATTTTTTAGTTATTTGAGCCAATTTTATGGAGATCATTTCACATAGAAGTAGCTCAATTGAATAGATTAACAAACATGGACTAATCAGGAAGGAGCAAAGGTTAAAAGAAAGTCATGATTATTTATTGTTTCTTTCTTAAAGTTGAGAACTGACTAAGAGATAAGAAACAAGAGGAATACAATTGATCAGAAAATCTGCTAGCACCAGTCAAATACTACAGAAAGAAGGAAATATCTATTAGTCCACAAAACTAAATTATTGTTAATCCATGCAACTAGAAGAGAATAAGTAGAATAGAAGTATTTTATCATGTTAATACCATACAATTTTAACCTACCCTGAAATATTCAACAATATAGTTTCCGATTTTGCAGCCACCATCATCATATGGTATAGTCCAGGCAAGTGTAACACATCTTCCAAGAGTCATAACAACATTTACTTTACCAGGTGGTAAAGGTCGATCTAGAAGGAAAAAAATATTACAGCATATTAATCAATAAATTTCACAATTAAATTAAGTAGGGAAATGATATTAGTTGTCTATGGGTGAGCCCCCCAGCAGAAACCAAACATCATCTGATCATGATAAAACTATTTTATTATATCAAGAACTTACACATTCCATTTTTACACATACCTTTTTTAAACATGTGAAACACGTTCATATCAAGAGGCATAGAGAATTTTAACAGGAAGTAAAGATGAAATACCAATGCATTCAAAATACTATATGAAATGAAATAATAAAAAGCACTGTAACATAGATCTTTACAAACCTCCTGTTAATGGGTCAAAAACGGAATCAAGAGAAAAGTATACAGAATCAACCACCATCCTTGTTCAGATTTCAAGTCTTACTAGATAAGGTTGATGTAAACTCTTCCTATTAGAGTTCACATCATAAAATTTCTTGGTGACGACAAGCTAGATGTCATCAGTGCAGTGAGAAAATGGAAGCAAGATCTTGTAATTACCACATCCTTATATAACAGGTGAAACACTAGATGTCGCAGCAGGATTTGTACATAAAAACATTGCTTATGATTATTGATATAGAAAAGTGTTTAAGGAACAACAGTGGGGTAAGATGTTGGAACTTATAGCCGGACTAGAAAAAATATAAGATTTTTGTTTGTCCAACCGTGCCTTTGGTTTTTACAGATGATAGTTATGAAAATATTGTTTAACTTATTCAGAAGGACCATGATCCAGAGTGTATAAGATGTTATCTCAATGGAACCTTCTGACATTCTTAATCAAATTTTGAAGAAAAACAAAATCAGTCACTTTAAATTCTACAAAAATCTTGTCTGAACACGCAACTTCAGTCAGTTGAAAGTTGTTGCTTTATACATGAATATTTAAATTAAAGTAGCAAAATTTGACATTTCATTAAATGAAAGAAATTTGGTTTGATTTAAAGAATGTGAGAATGCTGAAAATGCAAGCATGTCACTTTCAACCTGCAATGCAGACCTTGTCCGTCAGTCTGTTTTAACTTCAATCTGGCTGAGGGAGAAGCGCTGGAATCTCCTGAAAACTTGTTTGTACATCAGCATACGGGAGGCGAAGATTGGAGATATCTTGGGATGAATGTAAACAGAGTACAGTGGTATGAATGATTTTTTTTGGTTTTATCTAACTTCAATGTTCTACTCACATAATTTTTTTTTTTTAATTTTGATGATTTATTGCAAAGTCACTAACTAAATTTTTGGAGGAGCTAGATTTTTAAGTATATTTTTATGAATTTTGTCATATTATCAAAGCAAAAACACCGTATGTGAACAATATTCTGTTTTAACAGAGAGAAATTTCATGGAAGTATTTAATTCTTTAATTGTATGAAATGTTACTTAATGATTTTTTGGAATAAACCCACAACATAAATTCAATTTTTATTAATTGAATTTATTTTACTTTAATCTATACTTATACTAGGTTGTTACTAAAGTCCTTGTGCATGAACACAAGGCCTAATTCCAACTCTTATAATTAATGTTTACATTATTATTTATTACAAATGCTTACTTTGACTAATCCTTGTGACTCGAGTTGGCTTAATGGGGTCATTTACATTTTTAAAAAACACATGGAAAGTCAGAAAAAAAATTGTGATTCATGGTCTTTTGAGATATTACAGGAAAATATGCCTAAGAGCAAAGGCAACCGCTGAAGAAATTAGTGCCACACTTTGGTTCAGAAACAATGGGATATGAGCCTTGCAGATGAACTCAGATCAGGCCATCCATCAGTTGTTGATGATGACGTTTTTCTTGAATGTGTGAACCAAGACACAACTACAACTAACTACTCATGATTTATCAACCATAAGAGGAGCTTATAATTCCAAAATGACTCTTCGTCTTGAAAACCCGGGCGTATGATATTTAAGACTAAGGTCCGAGCCACATGAGTTGACAGAGGCTCAAGCCCAGCAGCAAGGTGATTTTGCTTCAAAACCAGACCGGTAATAGATGCTGGGGGAAAAAAAAAAATCAAAAATGATAAAAAGTTAATATTTTAAAAAAACATAGCTAAGATAAGCCCTGAGTAGAGATGGGGAAGCTACACAACCGGAGGTTCACTAAGATCGGTTTGGGAAAGAATTGATGCTTTGAGTTTGGTGGAACTTGGAAAGCTTTTTGCATTTCGACCTTGTTTCTGATGATCCAGTGAACTCAAACCTTTACAGTTAAACAATTAGACAGAGGTTATGTAATTTTAAGTGCAAAGTATCCTGCTTTGTTCAACAGGAACCAAATCATTTTGCAACATGACAGTTTCCCTCAACATCATTCTGGTTTGACCAACGAAAAACAAATAGAATGTTTTGCCTTATCCTGCATATAGCCTATATATTGGACCATGAGATAATGGTTTCTTTAGATTAATGACTCATTTTTTAAAAGGTTAGATCTTTGATACTGACAAGGACGTTAAAATTGTATGTGGAGAGTTCTTTGCCTAAAAACCAAAGGAGTGGTACCAGCATCAAATCCAATCACTAGCAGAGAGATGGGTGAAAGTAGTTGAAAATAGACTTAACTTTGAAGAGTAGTATTCAATAATATTTAAAATGTGTAAAATGAAATAAAGCTCTATTTATGAACTATGACTTTAGTAACAACACAAGTTTGAATGAATATTTGCAGTCCTGAAACCTACTGCCCTTAAGTACAGAAGGCAGTATGTAGCAGCTTGTAGTATTTTACAATATACATTTTAGGAAATTAAAAAAAAAAACAAGGATTGCTTAGAAATTAACAAAATAAAATTACAAATGAGAGAAATGAACTATAAAAAAAAATATACCTGTTATAGTCACTAACAAAGAAGCTGTATCCTCCCCAAGGCAATTGATAGCTCTTACTTGGTATTCTCCTCTATCTTCTCGTGTAGCATTGGAAATCCTCAACATAGCATATCTGTTCATAATAAAATAATTTTATCAAAAAATAAATTAATAAAAAAACTATAAAATGTTTTCTATTAACAATTCCATTTACTTTCAAATGATAAATTATTTGTCAACTTTCGAAACTTGAGGATATAGGGATGGTTCATGCATGTGAATTTTGCTTACTAGAGCTGAATCATAAAGGCTTAACTCAAAGCACAAACTATTTTTTATTAACATAGTGTCGACAACATTTACTCCAGCCACATGTTTTACTTCACTTTTGGGACATGCAAAGATCATTTTTTTTCAATGTTGAACTTGATACAGCACCAATAAAACTAACCACTGAAAATATAAAGTTTCATATTTGTACTAATAGTTCGCTAACACCAAACAGATAAAATAAAAACTCGTTATTTTCGCTATTAATCTATTTATTTTCTAATTAAATAAATAATTGATCTATAAAATAAAAGTTAATCAGAGATGAACAGATGGTAAAAGTCTGAAGGGTAGGGTAGACTTAATTTTTTTTTATCATATATAGTAAACTCAAGTTTTGTAGAAATTTAGTTTGGAAAAGTAGTAAAAAAGGAATGATTAGTTTGTTATAAAAATTGAAACTATTAATAATGTTTTATATTCTTTTATTTAATATTCTCAATTTTAATTTTTTTTTATTTTTTTTTTTTTTTTTTATTTTTTTTTTTTTTAGAATTTGAAAATTATAGATGAACATACCTGTCTGTTGTAGCACATTCTACTCGAGGACCAGCAACCAGAACTTGGCCATTATGATACCATGTAACTTCAGGAGGTGGCCTTCCATTTATAGAAACTTTAAGTTTGACTGCTTCTCCAAGTTCAAACAATATTCCATCTTCATACTGACGAGGAAGTCGTATAGCAGGCAATGCTGAAATAAATTACAATTACATATTGATTAACAAATAATATTTGTTATAAATGAAATCATACTAAGAACACTGATAACACAACTTAAAATAGTTCAAAGTAGTTGGTCCGTGCAAATAATGCGCAAAGAATATTGGTCAGTGAACAAATTACTAAATAATAAGGAAATAAATATTTCAACCTATCATAAGATGAAGAAATCATTATCTATTTGTTCAGTAATCATAATCGATCAAGGAAAGAATTTTATTATAAAACATCCTTCATGTTTTAAACTAAAAATTTTATGAATTACAATAGCCTGTACCTTAGCTAATAATGGTCCAATTCTAATTTTTTTTTTGTTTTTTTGTTTTGGTAGAGAATTAAATAATCTTTCAAATAATATGTAACTTTTCTCCTAAAATTTCAGGAGATGTGACTATTTTTCCTACAAGAATAAGATCATCAAAATGAGAGATCGATCATTAGATTTAAAAGAATTGGCGAAGATATAGTGTACCAACAAAAAAAACAACTTTGAGAAATAATAAATAAAGATTGTTCTTTGGTCTTTGAAAGAAAAAGTTCAGTGCTAATAAAATGAATTAGAAAAAATTTACATAAAAATTGTATTAATCAAATATCTTACAATACAATTTCCGATGTTTAACTAAAAGCAAAGAACTGAAATAGAAAAGTTATTAATCATCTAAGCATGCAAAAATTTAAATTTCCATGCATAATATGCTGCAAGCATCCTTTTCTGTAGTGTGGCACAGGTTAATCAATATACTAACTTTAATAGAATAATGTCAACCCTACTAAAAATACTACATTAAAGAAGTAACAAAAAGTTGAATCAATGAGGGAATGGATAAGACAACACTAAGTATAAGTGCTTGAAAAATAAAGTTAGCATATTAAAGAAACAAAAAATAATAGTGATGGTGATAGAAATATAATCCATTTCATTAAATTAGTATCAAATAGATTTATCATTTTCTTAAGTTATCATACTGTAGTATGTATTCCTATTACAATAGCTACATTCTAGAATACAATACTGTATTCTGTGTAATCTGATGAATTGGTCATAAACAAAGAGAACTATAATAAATTGCAAATTTATTACTGCTCAACTGTGTTGAGTTACTAAATAACACAATGTACTCAACAGTCCATAATATAATATTCTGAAAAATTATAAAGATGGTTTAAATGATAAAAACAAAACTTAAGTTTTTTTTTTAGTAGTTGACATGTTTACTGAAGTTAGTCAAGAATGAAAATATATGAGGTCTGCTGAAATTCCAATTCATTATTCAGTCACCAACAGAATGTAACATAAATCTTGTCAAGGGTGAAATAGATCATTATTTGGATTTCTTTATAAAAGAGCTGAAATGAAAGATTAAATTTTTTTTAGAAAGGAATGATTTTCAACTTTCTCTTGTTGAGAACGAAAAGGCAAATTGGTATTTTCCAAGTTTTTTTTACCCATTTCATCAAAATCCTAAATGTGTGATTTACTGCAAAATTCAGATAGCCCTATAGCCCTACCCAATCATTTAAACATAATAGTATATATTAGCAAGAATAATGTTGACCCAAGAATTAATTGCAAATGTTAAAGGGTGAGTTTAGAGATGAAAAAATATTGCCAGGGCAGCTATCTTCACTGTTGCTAATGGTAGGATATAAAATTATAACTACAAGCTACAGCATATAGAATATTATTAATAATAAAAACATTTTTTGTTCGTGATAATAATTAAGTAAATGAATGAAATGTCCAACGCTTATTAAATTTCAGTTCATTACCTTGGAGTGTAAGAGATGCCTTAGAAACTGCATGTCCTGCTTTGTTAGTAGCACAACATTTTATTTCTCCTTCATCAGTTAATGCTGCTTGATGTATAACAAATGTACTAACATTTCCATCAGTTGAAACTCTTTGCCTTCTATTGCTAAAAACCTCAAATCCATCTTTGTACCAAGAAATTTTAGGAAATGGTGTGCCTTCTACCCTTACCGTAAACTCTACCTGTGTATTTAAAATAAAAACATAAATTTAAAAGTAGCATTGAAGTCACAACACTAAGCTGAGTTAATATAAACACACTAAATATACGAACTGCGGCCTAAATAAGTACACCAAGCAATGGCATACAAAAAATAAATATAATGAAATAACATACTATTCTTTGATGTTGAAGACTGATACTAGATAGATTAAAATTTTTGGCGAACTCTGGAATGTACTAATAATAATTTATATCGTTGATACAATCGTAAACTATTGAACAAGAAAAATTGTCATTTTTTCAGTCCTACATTCTAGGGATTGTAATTGTAGTTAAATCTTTTTAAATAGTGTATTTAAATTTTTAAATAGCGTAAATTTAAACATCCTCATTGTTTAGGCTAAATTGATGATATTTGAGTGGTGATTTTCAAATTCTAAAATATTTCATTGTATTTACAATACATAAAATCATTAGTGCATTCCAGAGTTGTTCAAAAATTATATATGAATATTTAATTGCTAAAAATAAAAGGGAAAATTATTTATTACCTAATAAAGAAAAAATATAATGTATTTTAAAATTTGATAATACTATAGCAAAAGAATGGCAATGAGAACATACAGTGTTAATCTACAATTAAAAAATCTGATGATTATCACTTTGGAAAACATAGTTAAGACTTTTGATATAAAGATATGATATAATAAGAAGTTTGATGTGACACAAACCTTTTCATTTTCGAGGGCGGTCGTATCGTTAATATTTTTTATGAAAAAGGGGGCAATGGCAACTCCTCTTTGGTGTGATATAGCTATGGGCTCTGAGAGCAGGCTGGGATCAGATCTGCCTCCAGAATTCTCTGCAGAAACTCTAAATTGATATCTCATACCAGGTTCGAGCCCACTTAAGGAAAGCTGGTGGTGTTTCACAAGAACTGGTGTTGCCTTCACCCAATGCGGTGAAGCGGTCCTTTTGTGCTCCACCACATAACCTAAAATTAAATAATAATTTATTAATTCAACTAAAAGAGAACTAGTTTGTAAAGGGAAAACATTGCTCCTGGAGGATTGGTTCATATCTTTACATGCCAGTTTATACATACATATATATATTCGGAACCTGCAATTTTTAGGGAGCATAAACGTTAGTTACTATTTATTACATATCTCTCTAAATACATATCTCCCTAAACATATATATATATATATATATATACATATTTAGAGATATGTAATAAATAGTAACTAACATTTATTCTCCCCGAAAATTGCAGGTTTCGAATGAACTATTTCTTCGATTCCATTTATATTTAAGTTATTCCATTTATATCTAATTTCTAAGGTTAAATATTAACACATATTCATCGGCAAGACAAAGAAAAATCAATTTTTAAACAACTATTTTGCAAACAATCACCAATAAACAAATGAAGAAAATCCACAATTTGTATATTACTTTTGTAAATAAGGAATAATTGATTCTTGTTTTTTTAAATTCTAATTTTTACCAAAGAAAGATAAAGAGATGTTGACACTTTCTCAGCATAAAGGCATTTATTGAATGGCAGTACAGAAAATCACCAGACGAATAAGTATTAATAATAAATAAAGAAAAATTTAGCTTAAACCTACCAATAATTTTGGACCCTCCTCCATAGATTGGAGGGTCCCATTTTATGGTTATCACATCAGGATCTGATCTCGGTGACCCAGGAACTAAATAAGGTTTCCCTGGAGGTGAAGGTCTTTCTAAAAATTTATGTTACTGTTAATAATGCTTAATAAATATTTCTTAAAGATCCTATCATTAACAAACATTACAAAGTAAGAATCAATAAATACAATTAAGAAACTAATTGGAAAAACATTTGAAGTTATTCAAAGACCAACTGTCAATTATCAGTTTATCTAAGTCCTAGCTGGTAATTCATTATAACAATAGGGATCCATCAAGTATTTTATTCCAAATTCTTTTGAATAGATTTCCTGTTGATTATAAATCATTAACAATAGTAAGAGTATAACCACAATGGAAGGAAAATTTACTTCTGTACTGCTAGTTTTATATTTTTAAAATTTACATTATAAAAATCAAGGATTAAGTTAAAAAAAAAACAATAAATATACTAATTAAAATGAATAAAATCGAGAAACTACATACTCCTAATGTACTCACAACATTCCCTCAGAATCTTCAACACCCCTAATGGCTGTACCATCTCCCGCCAATTGAAAAGGCGGGATTAGTACATGTTTTCTAAATGCAAGCAATTGAAAAATGTGCTCTCGAAGAACCATTATATTAATCAATACATAATTTTAAAAGCCCAAATATCTTCATAATATTTTAGAATAATGTTTCCATTAAATCAAAATAAAACAAAACTTAGTCCCGATTATCAAGAGCTATGTGATCTCAGGAACGGAAAGATAGACTACTTTGATCTGGCTTTTCGTTTTTCAAGATTATTTATACTTATAATTACGCTATAATGAAATTAAAAACGATGTAATTCTTAAATTTGTTGTATATACAAATTATTTTACATTGTTAGTTTATTATATTATAAAAAATAAGTTTCTAATCCGAAGCGCTAATCCAATAGAGCGTATATCTACTTCCATCATTTCTTCGAATTCACAATATTGTAATGGTTATAGTAATAATAACTTGTAGTAAAATTGTCTGAAAATAAATGAGGCTAGTGGGGTGGCTACTTAGACCCAGAGGTCCATCTCCCCTAAGCCCTAGCGGATCCAGGCTTTAATTTTGGGGGAGGCTTCAGCCGGAAAGCTTTTTTTTTTTTCATAAAAATAACGATAATTACTTTGGAAAAAAAGAAAGAAACTAACTACCTATATGAAATGGTGTTTAAGTGAATCCTTAAGTACTTTTAAATGTAATTACACGAACAATAATACTTTAAGAGGTATTTTTTAATTTTTTTTCCCATAAAACACGGTTATATTTTTCCATTTTGGGGAGGGCTTCAGCCCGAAAGCCCACCCCCCCCCCCGTATATCCGCCCGTGCTTCTGGGTACTCCTGCTTAGACCATTCGGGATCGCGGTGAATCAATAATTGAGGGTCCTCAGGAGCGGATTAAGGATTTAATTTAGGGGGTTAAACTCGAATCTGTAAGTAAGGTCCTATAACAAAATAAAAATTAAATGTTAATTCTACCTGAAGATTGAGAGAAAAGTGTTAGAAATCTATTGTTGTACCACTAGATCTGTTTCAACTGCCAGTCTATCAACTGCTTCCTGCAGTGTCTGATGCAACGCCTTAATGAAGACCTGCAAGGTGGGTCGAAACGTCATCGAAACAATTAAAAATACTATTTTTAAAAAATCTAGTATTTATATGACCGCACCGCTCAACCTACTCCTGCTCATATTGTTACGTTTGTTTAATTTATTTCAGCTAATCATATGAGCCTTTCAATTGACAGAATGCCTAACTCCAGTTTTAACATTTTTGAGTAAAGTCATTTTAGTAATATTTCTAGTTGGGAAATTTATAATGTCTGTACAGACAGTGAGTAACTTGATTCCTGAGTAGATGATAGCAATGTTGATATATAGGACTGCGAATAAAGGTAAATATTTCCTCCCTAAAACATCGTTAAAATTAATAATCAAAAATTTTGATATTGGAGTTAGACATTCTGTCACCTGAAAGGCTCATATGATAATACTGCGATTTCATATTTAAGAATATAAGGTTACTCAATAAATGTGGATATGGTCTCATTTTAAAGTTATGTTGAAAATCTTGTTTTAATTAAGGCTTCGATTGATTCCTCAGAACTTTTAATGCTATAAAAGTGTAAATGGTGCATAAAAGCGCCAATTAAGTGACGCTTTTATACATCATGAAAGTTACTTTGAGAAATAAAATACAATACTACGACAACAGAAACTTGTGTGTTATCTAAACGTTGAAGGCCTTGAAAGGTATTTAGCGGATCAAACCAGTTGGCAACTATTTAATTGCATTACTCAGATATCTGGAAATTCTCCAGCAAATAAATGTTAAAATTATTTTAAATAAGTTTTCGGCTGTAGTAGTTTTTATCGTATATAAAATTAAATTTGTAATAAATAGTATACAAATGATTTCTTGAACTCAATGTTCGGGCAGAGGGACCATGTTCGCGTGGACTAATTAGAATTGCGTCATCACTGACAAACAAAAAATCAGATGTTTCCTAAAAAATAATTGCTGATATAAATAATAAACACAGTTATTCACAAACCCTTTTTATTATTTTAGTGGCATTTTCGTTCGTATCAAAGGAGATTCTTAGGGTTCCATAATGTATCCCGGATAAATTGAAATGAGTTATTGTCAATCAAAATCCAATCCATAGTTTCATTATTACTCGAGTAAAAAAACAAAAAACAATATTGATCTGAATTAGGTTTTTTTCTATATGTAGATGAATTGAATACTTTTTAGTATCGAAGTGCCAAAAATAAATAAGCAAATTTTTTTTTTATTAAATCGTGCTACAATATCTTTTCTTGAAATCGCAGCTCCATTAATTCTCATAGTCATATTTACCATAGAAAAACCTTTAATTCCCCATTAATTAAATTGAAATTTATTTGCTCACTTTTGATAAAGAAGGCACGGGCGGATCTACGGGGGGGGGAGCGGTTTTGGTGGTAAAATATAACCATGTTTTATAGAAAAAAATATTAAAAATTACCTCTTAAAGTATTATTGCTCGTGTAATTACATTTAAAAGGACTTTAGGAATCACTTAAACTCCATTTCATATAGTTAGTTAGCTTATTTATTTTTTTCCAAAGTGATTATCATTATTTTTATGAAAAAAAAAGCTTTCGGGCTGAAGCCCACTTAAAATTAAATCCTGGATCCGCTAGTGAAAGAAGGAATATATACATATATATATATATATATATATATATATATATATATATATATATATATATAAAAGAGTATTAAAATTCATTGTGTTAAACAATAAATAATTATTGTTGTTTGTTAAAAAGGTAATGCCCTAAAAGTAATAATTTTTAAAAGACAAATTGCAACCAAAAAATAAATCAAATTTAATTGAACTATTCGTCTGTAGGACACTGAAGAGGAGCTGGATGAGGGACCTCCTCGCCTAATGTAGATATCACGCCGAGTGAGGTGCCGCTGGGCACTGATCACCGTAATGCCCTTCATGACATTATTTTTTTCCAACGACCTCACATTCACTGGTTGTCATTACCACTATGATAGGTGTGAATAAAAAAAAATTAAAGCAAAAAAAAAATTGAACTATTCATCATGGGAGTAAAACCCTAAGGTAGCAGAGTTCGACGTTATTTATTTACTATTAGGCATTTTACAATTACCTAGTTTTATATTGGATTACTTATAAGATAAAAAAAATCTATACGATTAAAGCCTCAATAGCTGTATTTTAAGTCGTAAAACTAATCGAAAGAGTATTAAGTTATTCCCATGTGTTCCCTTGATTTCAATAAATTATGAATAATATTTTTACGGCTTGGTTATTTCTCTCTCTCTTTTCTTTGTTTGAAAATTCGAATGTGAAGGAACGGAAAGCTCCTAAAATTGTTAAGGCTAAAAGACAAGTCAGTCAAAAAGGAAGTATTCAATTCTCGATTGGCATTATAACATTGTTGGCAAGAGGACAGAGGGTCTGTATAACGTCCTATAAATACACTGACTCTTAAGATTTCATGGTGCCAGCTTTATTATAAACAAATTGTTTAGTTGTTTATATTAAAATTGTATTTGTATTTAATTTTATTATTGTGAAGAATAATATAAAATCCAACTGGTCTAGATTCAAATCATCACTTTTTTCCCGGCAACCAATACACATTTAGAAACGTAATATTTATGAATACATACCAGACACATCCTTACTTTAAATGTAAGGTTATGGAAGAGGAATGACACTCCTTGATTTAGAAGCAATATTCATCTGAATTAATATTTCTAAAAAAAAAAACCGTCATTTGTTAAAAAAAAAAATCAACAAATAAGCAGTTCTTTGGAGAAGGAAAAATTAATTAAAATTGATTTATTATTGCATCACATTATTTCAATCTTGAAAACGATAAAGCAACTGAGGGACCAATACAATATACAAAGTAATGTACATTATTAATTAGGTTATGGAAAATACCAAAGATTTCTAGCAGCAAAAGATTTTTAATTTAACTTACCTATATAAGAAATATTTGGTAAGGAAAGTATTGCAATCTTGGAAAATTTCGAATCCGAGTTTTCAACGGAAATACACGTTTTAACCAGTCTAATTGGTCTAACCAGTCTAAGACTTGCTAAATGGTCTGTGTGTGTATGTGAATAGCATAACTCAAAAACGAAAAGAAATATGGCATTGAAATTACTTATTTAAGGAAGGTACATGTCTGGATGTTACAACTACTTTTTCGCTAAAATTACATTACTGGAATAAGGCAATTTTAGTAGTATCATCAAAATTGACTTATTTCCATCTTACATCATAGATTTTATACCTTTTTTCTCCATGTTTCTCTTAAAAGGTTCTAACGATTTTAATAAAACATATTATATCAATTTAAAACCCAAAGGTTTTAGTAGAAGTAATATTGGCTAAGTAAATCTTTTTCTCATTGAAATAATGCGAAAGGTCTTAAATGACGAAATTAAAAAAAATTCTCCGTCTGAATTTTGAGCACAATAATCTTGATAACCTACTCCTTGAGTTTATT